TTTTTACCTTTGTTTTCCCCATTTTGTGGGTGATCAGAAACCAACATCCTGATTTCCTTGGCACCACCATGATCAGACTGATCGGCAGCACTGAATACGTGAAGACCACCGCCATCTGATACGGGAGATGTACTCGAGCTCCACACAAACATGTGAAGCTCCTTAGCATCATGGTTCGCTTTACTCACAGCCATATTCTGCTGCTGTGGCGGTGGCGGTGGTGGAGGAGGCGGCTGTGGTGGCTCTTGTTGCTGAGTTTTGGAGGTCTTAGGGACAGTAGAAGCAATATCAGGATTGGGTGCTGGATAAGAAGTCGTCACCGGCGGTGCTGGGTAGAAACCAAATCTCGGAGAAGCCATTGCACAATTCTCTTCAAAGTTCGATGGCCGTGGCGTCGGACCTCTTGATGACTGAACGGAGTACATATCGGCCGGACCAAAGTTCGATAACCTTCCAGGAAAACCCATCATTGAATAAAAGTCCGTGTGGTTGAAATTAGACCCTCTCGGCGTCTGATTTCTCGATGAACTCAAGCTGTATATCTCAGCTCCGGTGAGGTTCGACGGCCGAGGAGTCAATGCCGGAAGTGAACATCCAAGTGACCTCCTCGAGGCATTAGATTTTCTCACTACTACATGAAGCTTTCCATCATCGCCGATCTCTGCGTCGGTTTCAAGAAAATCTTGACCATCAAGCGACACAACATCTGACTCAACTTTGAACGAAACTATGGAGGCCGCAGTTTCAGGAAATTGTTCCATTATCAATAACTTCGCACCACGGTACTCGAACAAGAAGAGCAAGAGAGTGTACCAAATGATGCACTGTAACACCACCACTTGTACCATTAACTTGCCGGAGTACTCGCCGTACATGGCGATTAACAGAGGAATACCCATGACCAGAGTGTTGGGTAGTGTTGATAATGAGAAGATAGTTATCATCCATTCAAGACTACCATTTTTGGTGAGGTTAGTCCAGAGGGCGAGGACGATGAGCATGATGATTTTCTGGAGGGTATCGGCGGCAATGAACCGGAAGTTCATTGCGTAAGGGTCGTTGGTGGAGATGAAGTGGAAGGACAAGAGTGGGACGGCAAAAATGGCGACGAATCGGTTGATGCCGGAGCATTGGTCGGGGGTGAAGATTTTCCACCACCGGACAGAGCCGTAGGCTAATATCATGGCGACGTAGAGTGGGATCACTGCTGTTAAGACCACATAGAGGTCGTGCCCGGTGATCATAGTGGGTGGTGAAGTGAATATGTTGCTTGGGGGAAATTTGAGAGGAAGAGAAGGGCAAAATGGGAAGAAAAAAATAGTTATATAACTGACTAATTGGATATTTCTCGTCTGTTGCCACTCTGCTGCACCTCTGCTGATTGATTCGAAGGGCACTTCCTCTGTGTGTATTTGAGAGAGAGAGAGAGAGGGAGAAGGGGGGAGAGAAATTGGAATTGGTGTAACTAGAAACTTTGGAGAGAGAGAGAGAGAGAGTGAAATTACAAGTGTAACTATGGAGGAATATATAGGAGGGGGTGTGACGTATGAGAAATGGTATTGGGAATTAATTTATTATAATTAATTTGTTAATTTAAATTATTAATTTTTGATTAATTATGGTTTGCATCAAATATTATAATTTAATGTCAATCTAATAGATTTATAGAAATCACGTAATTATGTCAAATTTTTAAGTGTAAATAATATTACTTGTGAAGGATATGGTCTATTGAAATCAGTCTAGTATCGAAATTAATTATCGATATAAATTTTGATTTATATGATTTTTTAACCCTTAGTTGAAAATATAATAAAGCATTAAATTTTTCTACACTTAGCATATTTTTATTGAATAAAAAGTAAAGATACACAACCAAAATATGATTGTACTATGAAGTTGGGGACTGGTGGGAATGGAATTGGGTTAGGAGGTGACCACCAACTATGGTTAAATTAACTACATATGGGTTTATGTGTACTCTTGGCCCATGACATATGGCATGGGTTGTTTGGTGACTTGGACGCTTTTTTCCTTTTTTTTAATTTATGGTTCCTCGGTGAAGGTTGTCTAAGCCGTCAAGATACACCTCAATTAATCCATTTCTTAGTATGATCAAAGACATATGATTATTCATGTTATAATTGAAATATACATAAGGGATAAATCACTCATGACGTAATCTTAAAGGATTGTCAATATTCGAATTCAAAACATATAAATTTATAATTTAACGTTATTATTATTTGAACTATCCTTTTCGTTTCTTTTTATTTCTGCCAATGTTTGAGCTGTGAAAGTGACAATCTAAGAGGTTGTTGTTATGTTGATTTTGTTTTTCTTCTTTGGTTACATTGGAAAGGTATTGTTATGTTGAATTTCAGTGCGCAGAAAGTCACGAAGAAAATGAATGTGGTCAGGTAGCAAATCTAAAGAGAATTAGTCAAATTTTAGACTCAGTCAGAAACAAAAAACACCAAATTTCTCGATAGTTAAACGATAAATTTTAATCCAACAAAGTCACAAATGAAAAGGAATCGCGTGACAGCAATTCAATCATGGCACTCTAGCAAATTTAAAGATCGAACTTTACGGAAACTTTGAGGTGGATAATGCGACAAAAGAACACATACATAAGGACCGAAACAAGAGATGAAAGATGAAAGCAACTGCATTTAAAGTCAAGATAAACACAAGCAAGGTCATCAAGAACATATACACGAGGAACGAACAAGAGACACAAAACCTAACAAAAGAAACTGTGTGTATTAGTTAGGACATGAGAGAGAGAGAGATAGAGAGAGAGACCTAGCTTTTACACAACGATTTATGCGACTGATGGGAAAGTTGATAGGGTATATGCGTTGGAATATAGTCTCTCTGGTGCCCATCATCTTACTGTGCCATTGGCCCTATACAGAAAAAGCTGAATGGAAGGTCACCAAGACCTGCAACTAAATCAGACAGGGTATCCACACAACTAAGACTGTAGAATGAGTTTTTTTACTGAACTTACATTGTTTTGAAAGTATTTCTTAAACTTAGGTAGTTTTAAAAGGGTCAATTCAATTGGTGTTTTTAAGCAAATGAAAGGGTCAATCCATTGTCTCTTTTCTTCCTTCATTTTTTGTCTTCTCCCCAAAATTTTCCCCAAATCTCTGACCTCCATCGTTACTCCCTCCACCCAATTGCCATCATCATCCACCAACGGAGCATACCACCAAGAACCCCACTAAAGACCCCGCCCCACCAGGCAGGTCCACCACATCTACCTACGGTTGATCTCCACTGAAGCCACACCTCAACCACCATTGTCTCACTTCGGCAAACTCTCCCACCACCTCTGTCAATGATATCTCTCATTCTCTCTCTCTCTCTCTCTCTCTCTCTCTCTCTCTCTCTCTCTCTCTCTCTCTCTCTCTGTGCATCTGTTATGGGACTAGGAGGCCGAAGCAATCGCTAAAATAAGTTAAATGAATGAGAAAAAGATAGAAATTTGGAGGTATAAGTTTTTGAAGTCGGTGGTTCCTGGGTGGAATAGTCTTCTTGTGCTCCTACAACCCTTTTTTTTTCCATTTTATTATATTTGTTTTGATCTAACTTTTCGAGCTTAAAACTGTCAGTCTAACTTTTTTTCCAACTTATGTTTTTAAAATTGCCTAGATTTGAGGAATACATTCAAAATAGTCAAGGTTTGGTAAAAAAATTTCTCAAAAGAACTCAGATTTGGTAAAAAACTCGATTTTGTGCCACCCAATTTGGCCCGATATTAGAGGACCAAATTCAATCTAAGTTTTATTGTTTATACTTTACATTCAAACGTTTGGTTCGCATAAATCTTGCTCTATACATTAGTTTGCTAAGTCCAAAAATGGTTATGGAGTCAAATTAAGCTCGTGGTTGTATAGTCCCATAATATCAAATCCAGCTTTAGTTGTAATGTCACAAATAATTTGGGTTTTGACCCAAACTTGAAAGTAATGTCCATATTGCAGTCCAAAGACCCTAGAAAGGTACTGATGGATGGAAACCTAGCTTGTTAAGTATGTTTTTTTCTATATACACCATAGATTAGTATTATATTTGCAATCAATTAAGTATAATGCATGTATAGCAGAAGAGAAAAACACAGAGGACTGAAGAAAAGCATCAATGAGAGGCACAATAAAACTCTCGAAGACGTGGCCATAAGAAATCAAAGGATTAATCTTGTGGTCTCTTTGTTAATAGAACCATGACAAAATCAAATACAATTAACTAAATCATACCCTGTGGAATATCAAATACTAGTATACTCTAGAGTCTTTCGTGTCTAGATTAATAATCCGTTTGGTACAATAAAAAAGTGGGAGGATGGAAAGTTGTAAAGATAAATAAAACATCATGTTTGGTAAGGAAGGAAAGTATGAAGGATGAAAAAGTTGATGGATTAACTTTTTTTCCAATTCACCAAAATCAATCCCTCAATCAGAAGGAAAGTAGATGTAAAGTTAATTATTTATGTTGAAATGTATCTTATTTGTCAATATATCTTATGTATACATTAATTTCACATAAAAATACAATGGTAAAATATGTATATATATTTTTTAAAAAATAAAAAATAAAAATTTTAAGTTAAAATAATATTTTTTTCATCTTAACTAAGGGTGAAAATTTTCGACTCAACACGATGACACGATTTAAACTCGATACGAAAATAAATAAGTCAACTCGCAACTCGACACGACACAATTAGTTAAATGAGTTAAATTAAGTTTGATTAATATTCGACACAAACTTGTAATGACTCAACACGAATCTGACACGACACGCCTCGACTTTAAAAGTGTATTCCTTATACTTTTCATTCTTGAATGATAGAAAGTATATCCCTCCTATTTTATATTCTTTCTATTTTTCATCCTCCCAGTCAAACGGAGCATAAAAATCTGCCTACACACATTTCTTTTTCATGCTTACATGTGTATAGTTGCATTTGAATTGAGTTGTCATGGACTATTTATAGCTGTCTACATAACCACGTATCTAGACTAGTCAAAGTTCTATCTTAGGGGACCAAGGTACAATGTGTATATATGCACTTTGAACCATTGCTCAATACTTTTTGGTTTGCACCATCATGTTTTTCGTCACCTACATGGATATTGACTTCACACTATCGCAATTACCAACACAAGTTATAAGTTATATGAATAGTTGTTTCGTCCGGTTACCCACTTATGTCGTTTTGTTTATTTTCCAGCAAGTTACGATTAGTATTAGGTTCATGTCAATTGAAATAGTTCAGGTGGCAGTATGAGGAACTCAATAGCAAAAGGGATGGTGTGAGATACAGATCATGGTTTAAGGATAAAAATTGTTGGGTCTGTTTGGTTTGCGTTTCAAAAAACAGTATTCGAAAATAGTTTTTGAAAAGTGTTTTAAGAAAGTGGTTTTGATATTTTTTGAGATAAAAAACTTGTTTGGTTAGATGATTTCAAAAACAATTTTATAATACAGAAAATAATAAAATATGTTTGGACAACTTCAATATATATTTGAACAGTAATTCAAACATTAATAAAAAAAATATAAAAAAATTATTTTTATATTGACAATTTCATAATATATATATATACTTATATATACACTTATATATATATACTCGTATTTGAACATTCAAAATTGTTCTCCTTGTTTCTAAAATTTTCAAAGAAAACTTTGAAAGCAAGTTACACTTATTTTCTGTTTCTTTGACTCAAATCTCATTTTTTTTTTCAAAATTTAGATAATAAAAATGCTAAACAAACAGGTTTTAGGTGTTTTTGAAATTTTAAAAATAAAAAATAATTTCTGAAAGTTAAACCAAACATGACCGTAATCTTTGGTTGTTTTTCTTACACGTATAGACAAACAAATACACTTAATTACATCTCAAACTCTAATGCATTTGCTTATTGCAACGAAGGAGAAAGGGTAGTAGATGCAATTCATTAATATTAAAAAATATAAATTGCACGAATCACTGCTAGGACATCCTATCGAGAAGCATGCAGTTACATCAAACTAGACCTCATTGCCCTAGAATTTTTCCTTTTGGGTCATGTAAAAGATAGGATAACCCAAAGGGTTGGCTTAGTTATAGTTTAGTCACTTTATAAACTTCTTATTAGAAATAGGTCAGGGGTTTGAATCTTTTACGAATCGTTGTTCTTTGAGGCTATCGCCTATAAATTTACCCTCTTGTGTGGAGAAACGACTT